AAGACAGCAAATGCAGTCCCAATTTTTAAAAAAGGAGACAGACACAAAGCATTATATTACCGACCAGTGTCACTGACGTGTATAGTATGCAAAGTCATGGAAAAGATTATCAGGAGAAAAGTGGTGGAACACCTAGAAAAGAATGAGATTATGAACGACAGCCAGCACGGTTTCAGGGATGGGAAATCCCGTCACAAACCTACTGGAGTTCTATGACAGGGTACAGCAGTAAGACAAGAGAGAGAGAGGAATGGGTAGATTGCATTTTCTTAGACTGTAAGAAGGCGTTTGATACAGTTCCACACAAGAGATTAGTGCAGAAGCTGATGGACCAGGCAGGGATAACAGGGAAGGCACTACAGTGGATCAGGGAATACCTGTCAGGAAGACAACAGCGAGTCATAGTACTTGGCAAGGTGTCAGAATGGGCGCCTGTGACGAATGGGGTTCCACAGGGGTCAGTTCTAGGACCGGTGCTGTTTCTGGTATTTGTGAATGACTTGACAGAAGGAATAGACTCCGAAGTATCCCTGTTTGCAGATGATGTGAAGTTGATGATAAGAATCCAATCACACGAGGATCAGGCAGAACTACGAAGAGATCTGGGCAGGCTGCAGGCCTGGTCCAGCAACTGGCTTCTGGAGTCCAACCCCCCCAAGTGCGAAGTCATGAAGACTGAGGAAGGCCAAGAAGACCGCAGACAGAGTACACTCTAGGGGGCCAGAAACTACAACTCTCACTCATGGAAAAGATCTTAGGGTGAGTATAACACCTGGCGTATCTCCTGAGGTGCACGTCAACCAAATAACTGCTGCAGCATACGGGTGCCTAGCAAACCTAAGAACGTCATTCCGACATCTTAATAAGGAATCGTTCTGGACCCTGTACACTGTGTATGTTAGGCCCACATTGGAGTATGCAGCACCATTTTGGAACCCACACCTAGCCAAGCACCTAAAGAAACTAGAGAAAGTGCAAAGGTTTGCAACAAGACTAGTTCCGAAGCTAAGGGGTATGTCCTACGAGGAAAGGTTAAGGAAAATAGACCTGACGGTACTGGAAGATAGGAGACATAGGGGGATACGATAACGACATATAAAATACTGAGAGGAGTAGACAAGGTGGACAGAGATAGAATGTTCCAGTGATTGGACACAGCAGCAAGGGGACACAGTTGGAAGTTGAAGACTCAGATGAATCACATCGATGTTAGGAAGTATTTCTTTAGTCACAGAGTTGTCAGGAAGTGGAACAGTCTGGGAAGCGATGTAGTGGAGGTAGGATCTATACACAGCCTTAGGATGAGGTATGATAAAGCTCACAGTTCAGGGAGAGTGACCTAGTAGCGGTCAGTGAAGAGGCGGGGCCAGGAACTGTGACTCGACCCCTACAACCACAACTAGGTAAGTACACACACACACACACACACACACACACACACACACACTCACACATGGATCAGAGAATACCTGACAGGAAGGCAACAACGAGTCATGGTACGATATGAGGTATGTGTGACGAACAGGGTTCCACAGGGGTCGGTCCTAGGACCAGTGCTATTTCTGGTATATGTGAATGACATGATGGAAAGGATAGACTCAGAGGTATTCCTGTTCGTAGATGATGTGAAGTTAATGAGGAGAATTAAATCAGATGAAGACCAGGCAGGACTTCAAAGAGACTAGGACAGGCTGGACACGTGGTCCAGCAACTGGCTTCTTGAATTCAACCCTGCCAAGTGCAAAGTCATGAAGATCGGAGAAGGGCAAAGAAGACCGCAGACAGAGTATAGACTAGGTGGCCAAGGACTGCAAACCTCGCTCAAGGAGAAATATCTTGGGGTGACCATGATACCGAGCATGTCTCCGGAGGCACACATCAACCAGATAACTGCTGCAGCATACGGGCGCCTGCCAAACCTACTATACCTTAGTAAGGAATCGTTCAAGACACTGTACACTGTGTACATCAGGCCCATCATGGAGTATGCAGCTCCAGTTTGGAACCCACACCTGGGCAAACACGTCAAGAAATTAGAGAAAGTGCAAAGGTTTGCAACAAGACTAGTTCCGGAGCTCAGGGGTATGTCCTACGAAGAAAGGTTGAGGGAAATCGGACTGACGACACTGGAGGACAGGCGAGTCAGGGCAGACATGAAAATGACATGCAAAATACTGCGTGGAATAGATAAGGTAGACAGAGACAGGTTGTTCCAGAGAGGGGACACATAAACAAGGGGTCATAATTGGAAGCTGAGGACTTAGACGAGTCATAAGGATGTTAGGAAGTATTTCTTCAGTCATAGAGTCGTCTGGAAGTGGAATAGCCTAACAAGTGATGTAGTGGAGGCAGGAACTATAAGACGAGGTATGACAAAGCTCTAGAAGCAGAGAGAGAGAGAGAGAGAGAGAGAGAGGGGGGACCTATTAGCGATCAGTGAAGAGGCGGGGCCAGGAGCTGTGTCTCGACCCCCGCAACCACAATTAGGTGAGTACAGTTAGGTGAGTACACACACACACACACACACACACCACACACACACACACACACACACACACACACAAGCAAACACATAGCGGAGAGGAGGACATAACTGAGCTGAAAATTTTTCAGAGAACAGAGGGATACTCGAAGGGGAGACATCGGCCAGTTTCAAGTTGATTTTCTAGAAACGGTGCAGAGCCAGGATCCTGCAGCAGAAACAATGGTTTTAAGAATCTACAACAGACTGGACAGTGTTCTTAGATCATGACAAAACAAGAATAGAATGATATAAGCTGAGAGGACACAGAGACGAAAGGAGCAAGAATGAGAGATCGAAGGCTAGAGTCATTAGGGGACAACCCGAGTCCAGTGAAGTAACAAGCTCAAACAACCACAGAACCACCCACAGAACCCCACAGCCAAACATATTATCCCTAAACAAACCACACTCCACACTCACACACCCCACCCAACTCTACTCGGTAGAACCACACAGCACCATGCCAGATCTCGCACTTCCTCAGCCCCCACAAATTCCCCAGAATACAGTGCTGGAGAGGAAACTGAAGGTTTGGTACACCAGCGCTGATGGAATAACGAATGAGTGGGAGGAGTGACACGAAAGAATCACAGAGGCACCACCAGACATCATAGCTCTCACAGAAACCAAGCTCACAGCTTAAAGGAATAATAACAGATGCCATCTTTCCAACTGGATATCGGATCCAGAGGAAAGACAGAGGAAATAGAGGGGGTGGAGGAGTTGCACTGATCATCAAAAAAAATGAAATTTTGAGGAGATAACAATGGAAGGCAGAGGAGAAGCGAGGGACTACATAATAGGAACACTTCAGAATGGAGGTCCCAAGGGAAGAATATGATGAGAGAAACAGAGCGATGTTTGACACACTGGCTGAAGTGGCCGAAAGGGCCCATGCGGGCAGGGCAAAGATACTGGCTGAGGATGGCTTCAATCACAAGGAAATTAAATGGGAAAACCTGTCGCCACACTGGGGCCCAGAAACGTGGAGGGCTAAGATAAGGAGGTGGTACTGCAAAACCTCATGCATCAACGCGCTAGGGACATTACCAGAGAGAGAGAGAGAGAGAGAAGAGAGGACAATCCAGCAAGACTGGTCCTTGTATTCACCTTGAGTAGTTTAGATACTGAGGACATCACATATGAAAGGCCCATCAGAGCTAGTGGTCACGTGGTCCTGAGCTTTGAATACATAGTAGTGCTACAAGTTGAGAGGGAAGCAGGAAAGGCAGGATGAACGAAGCCAAACTACAAAAGAGGTGTCTACACAGGCATGTGGAACTTTCTACACGAGGTTCAATAGGAAAGAAAATTGGCAAGAAAATCTGTAAATGATATGATGGAATATATGACAACAATATGTAGAGGAGCAGAGGAGAAATTTGTACCCAAGGACAACAGAAATAATGAGAAGGCCAAAGGTGTAGAAAGGCCAAAACTGAGTGCGCTAGAGAATGGAAGAAGTATAGAAGGCAAAGGACCCAGGAAACTAAGAAGATTAGTCGAGGAGCCAGAAATGAATATGCACAGATAAGGAGGGAGGCCCAGCGACAATAAGAAAAAAATGACATAGCAGTGAAGGCCAAGTCTGACCCAAAGCTGTTGTACAGTTACATCAGGAGGAAAGCAGCAGTCAAAGACCAGGTTGAAGAAGGAAGGAAGGGAGACCATAAGAAACCACCGAGAAGTCTGTAAAGAGCTAGACAAGATATTTAAAAACGTATTTACAGTGGAGACAGAAACGACTCCAGAAAGCCGGGGTGGTGGGGTAAACCATCTAGTGATGAACACTATACATACAACCGAGGAGGAGGAGAAGAGGCTGCTAAGTGAACTAGATACCTCAAAGGTGATGGGGCTGTACAACATCTCTCTGTGTCCTGAGAGAGAGGGAGCAGAAACGCTCTGTGTACCACTTACAGCAATCTTCAACACTTCTACTGAAACAGGGCGACTACTTGAGGTATGGAAGACATCAACTGTAGTCCCAGTTTTTAAGAAAGGAGACAGACACGTAGGACTAAACTACAGACCAGTGTCACTGACATACATAATATGCAAAGCCATGGAGAAGATTATCAGGAGAAGAGTGTATATACACCTCTCGATGTATATACACTGAAAGATATACAACTCTCAGTTTATATAATATTGCCATGAACGAGCATTAATATCTGATAAAATAAGATTGGCTGTAAAAAAAGTAGAAATTGAAGGAATAAAGTATGTATTAGTTGATAAGTTGCGTTGTAAACTTAGGGAAAACTTTTGTGTTACTTTTATGAAAAAAATATGTGTAAAAAAATACTCCTTCAAGGGAATGCATTAAAGTATTCATAAAAAATGATAATTATAGGAATTTTAACACCGAGACATTCTAAAACGTCTGCTTGCTGAGAAGACTTACAAAATGCCCAATTAAAATTCATCAGCTTCATTCTTAACAATGAAACTGTTTATTTAGCAGTATACTCACCATTGGAAGAGTTTCAAAGACTGGCCCAACAAACAGTAAAACCAGCAAAAGGATGCTGCAACAGACGAAGGAAGTTATCTGTGTCTTACCACCGGCAGCTTCCTGTATGAGAGAGCGAGCCAGTGACACAGCGATGGGAGCACAGCCGAAGAACGATCCAACCACGTTACTGGTGCCCTGGAAGTACATACGTAAAAACAATTATTTCAATATGTTTTATTTAATTTATTACGTATCAACAAATGTTCTTTGAATATGAGGGACTGACTACCCCAAAGCTACATCTTTGATGATAGTAGATTGATTACATCATTCTTACATCTCTACTGTTTCTGTCACAGCCTCTGCATTCGACTGAAGAAGCCTCCTGAGTGGGCGAAACGTTTCGGAATAAAGATTGTTTAATTTTAAGTGTTACGTCATATCAGTAATATTATGTAGGGAACAGTGCCTGTTTCCAGACAGTATAGGACTCCACTTCTAGGAGGTGCTTGCTTAATAACGCCCTTATCTCACATACTGAGAGTACGGGTTTGATCCCGGCACGAGTGTAAACGTCGACCTGGCGGGTGTTCCGGGGGTCAACGCCCCCGCTGCCCAGTCCTTGACCCAGCATCCCAGTAGACCAGGGCTTGATCAACGAGGCTGTTATTTCTGACTGCACATAGTAAATCGTACGAACCACAGCCTAGCTGATCAGGTACAGACTTTAGGTATCTGGCCAACTCCTTCTTGAAGACAGAGAGGGGTCTATTGGTAATTCTCCTTATGCATGGTGGGAAGCAGTTGAACAGTCTTGGGCCCTGGGCACTTATTGTGTTTTCTCTTATTGTACTAATGGTGCCCCTACTTTTCATTGGTGGTACGTATGTTGCACCGTCTGCCTAGTCTTTTGCTTTCATAGGGAATGATTTCTGTGTTAAGATTTGAGACCAGTTCCAGTAGGATTTTCCATGTGTAAATTATCATGTACCTTTATCGTTTGCGCTTCAGGGAGTATAGGTCAAGTGGCTTCGAACATTTGCATCAATTAAGGTGTCTGACTAAACTTAGACGTTCATTGAAGGTTCTCTGTACATTCTCTAGATCTGTGATTCAACCTGCCTTGAATGGCGCTGTTAATGTACAACAGTATTCCGGCCTAGAGAAAACAAGTGATTTAAAATGATTATAAATGACATGGCATCCCTTGTACTGGAGGTTCCTATTATCTATCTTATCCTTTTTCTTTGTAAATGTTTCTTTACACCTGATCACTTAACAGTAAGTAGGTACCTGGGTGTTAGTCACCTTATACCTGCTGTCCCTGTTCACCTAGCTGTAAGTAGGTACCTGGTTGTTAGTTACCTTACACCTGCTGTCCCTGTTCACCTAGCAGTAAGTAGGTACCTGGGTGTTAGTTATCTTACACCTACTGTCCATGTTCACGTAGAGGTAGGTAGCTACCTGGGTGTTAGCCGCCTATTCCGGGTGGCATCCTGGGTGACAAGATTAACCTAAGTTGCCAGAGAAGCTCTTTCATACCGTATGTCAGTGTTATCAACTATGTCTTTATCAGTTGTACCGTGTACTGTGTACTTGTATTGTTATGATATTTTTAATCGAGGTACTGTGAGATAGCGACTACTACATTTAGGCCTCTTCTCCTCCCTTAAGGAAACTCTCTCATTCATAAGCCTGGTGAGTGACTGTAAGTGGATGCTACAAGCCTGATGTGTGACTGTAAGTGGATGCTACAAGACTGATGTGTGAGTGTAAGTGGATGCTACAAGCCTGATGTGTGAGTGCAAGTGGATGCTACAAGCCTGGTGTGTGAGTGTAAGTGGATGCTACAAGCCTGATGTGTGAGTGTAAGTGGACGCTTCAAGCCTGGTGAGTGAGTGTAAGTGGATGCTACAAACCTGGTGTGTGAGTGTAAGTGGATGCTACAAGCCTGGTGTGTGAGTGTGAGTGGATGCTACAAGCCTGATGTGTGAGTGTAAGTGAATGCTACAAGCCTGGTGTGTGAGTGTAAGTGGATGCTATAAGCCTGGTGTGTGAGTGTAAGTGGATGCTACAAGCCTGATGTGTGAGTGTAAGTGGATGCTACAAGCCTGGTGTGTGAGTGTAAGTGGATGCTACAAGCCTGATGTGTGAGTGTAAGTGGATGCTATAAGCCTGGTGTGTGAGTGTAAGTGGATGCTACAAGCCTGGTGTGTGACTGTAAGTGGATGCTACAAGCCTGATGTGTGAGTGTAAGTGAATGCTACAAGCCTGGTGTGTGAGTGTAAGTGGATGCTATAAGCCTGGTGTGTGAGTGTAAGTGGATGCTACAAGCCTGTTGAGTGAGTGTAAGTGGATGCTACAAGCCTGGTGTGTGAGTGTAAGTGGATGCTACAAGCCTGATGTGTGAGTGTAAGTGGATGCTACAAGCCTGATGTGTGAGTGTAAGTGGATGCTACAAGCCTGGTGTGTGAGTGTAAGTGGATGCTACAAACCTGATGTGTGAGTGTAAGTGGATGTTACGAGCCTGATGTATGTGTGAGTGGATGCTACAAGCCTGATGTATGAGTGTAAGTGGATGCTACAAACCTGATGTGTGAGTATAAGTGGATGATACAAGCCTGGTGTGTGAGTGTAAGTGGATGCTACAAGCCTGATGTGTGAGTGTGAGTGGATGCTACAAGCCTGGTGTGTGAGTGTAAGTGGATGCTACAAGCCTGGTGTGTGAGTGTAAGTGGATGCTACAAGCCTGATGTGTGAGTGTAAGTGGATGCTACAGGCCTGATGTGTGAGTGTAAGTGGATGCTACAAGCCTGGTGTGTGAGTGTAAGTGGATGCTACAAGCCTGGTTTTGTGAGTGTAAGTGGATGCTACAAGCCTGCTGTGTGAGTGTAAGTGGATGCTACAAGCCTGGTGTGTGAGTGTAAGTGGATGCTACAAGACTGATGTGTTAGAGAAAGTGGATGCTACAAGCCTGATGTGTGAGTGTAAATGGATGATACAAGCCTGATGTGTGTGTAAATGGATGCTGCAAGCCTGGTGTGTGAGCGTAAGTGGATGCTACAAGCCTGATGTGTGAGTGTAAGTGAATGCTACAAGCCTGGTGTGTGAGTGTAAGTGGATGCTACAAGCCTGGTGTGTGAGTGTAAGTGGATGCTACAAGCCTGGTGTGTGAGTGTAAGTGGATGCTACAAGACTGATGTGTGAGTGTAAGTGGATGCTACAAGCTTGATGTGTTAGAGAAAGTGGATGCTACAAGCCTGATGTGTGAGTGTAAATGGATGATGCAAGCCTTGTGTGTGAGTGTAAGTGGATGCTGCAAGCCTGGTGTGTGAGTGTAAGTGGATGCTACAAGCCTGATCTGTGAGTGTAAGTGAATGCTACAAGCCTGGTGTGTGAGTGTAAGTGGATGCTACAAGCCTGTGTGTGTGAGTGTAAGTGGATGCTACAAGCCTGGTGTGTGAGTGTAAGTGGATGCTACAAGCCTGGTGTGTGAGTGTAAGTGGATGCTACAAGCCTGATGTGTGAGTGTAAGTGGATGCTATAAGCCTGGTGTGTGAGTGTAAGTGGATGCTACAAGCCTGGTGTGTGACTGTAAGTGGATGCTACAAGCCTGATGTGTGAGTGCAAGTGAATGCTACAAGCCTGGTGTGTGAGTGTAAGTGGATGCTATAAGCCTGGTGTGTGAGTGTAAGTGGATGCTACAAGCCTGTTGAGTGAGTGTAAGTGGATGCTACAAGCCTGGGTGGTGAGTGTAAGTGGATGCTACAAGCCTGATGTGTGAGTGTAAGTGGATGCTACAAGCCTGATGTGTGAGTGTAAGTGGATGCTACAAGCCTGGTGTGTGAGTGTAAGTGGATGCTACAAACCTGATGTGTGAGTGTAAGTGGATGTTACGAGCCTGATGTATGTGTGAGTGGATGCTACAAGCCTGATGTATGAGTGTAAGTGGATGCTACAAACCTGATGTGTGAGTATAAGTGGATGATACAAGCCTGGTGTGTGAGTGTAAGTGGATGCTACAAGCCTGATGTGTGAGTGTGAGTGGATGCTACAAGCCTGGTGTGTGAGTGTAAGTGGATGCTACAAGCCTGGTGTGTGAGTGTAAGTGGATGCTACAAGCCTGATGTGTGAGTGTAAGTGGATGCTACAGGCCTGATGTGTGAGTGTAAGTGGATGCTACAAGCCTGGTGTGTGAGTGTAAGTGGATGCTACAAGCCTGGTTTGTGAGTGTAAGTGGATGCTACAAGCCTGCTGTGTGAGTGTAAGTGGATACTACAAGCCTGGTGTGTGAGTGTAAGTGGATGCTACAAGACTGATGTGTTAGAGAAAGTGGATGCTACAAGCCTGATGTGTGAGTGTAAATGGATGATACAAGCCTGATGTGTGTGTAAATGGATGCTGCAAGCCTGGTGTGTGAGTGTAAGTGGATGCTACAAGCCTGATGTGTGAGTGTAAGTGAATGCTACAAGCCTGGTGTGTGAGTGTAAGTGGATGCTACAAGCCTGGTGTGTGAGTGTAAGTGGATGCTACAAGCCTGGTGTGTGAGTGTAAGTGGATGCTACAAGCCTGGTGTGTGAGTGTAAGTGGATGCTACAAGCTTGATGTGTTAGAGAAAGTGGATGCTACAAGCCTGATGTGTGAGTGTAAATGGATGATACAAGCCTTGTGTGTGAGTGTAAGTGGATGCTGCAAGCCTGGTGTGTGAGTGTAAGTGGATGCTACAAGCCTGATCTGTGAGTGTAAGTGAATGCTACAAGCCTGGTGTGTGAGTGTAAGTGGATGCTACAAGCCTGGTGTGTGAGTGTAAGTGGATGCTACAAGCCTGGTGTGTGAGTGTAAGTGGATGCTACAAGCCTGGTGTGTGAGTGTAAGTGGATGCTACAAGACTGATGTGTGAGTGTAAGTGGATGATACAAGCTTGATGTGTAAGAGAAAGTGGATGCTACAAGCCTGGTGTGTGAGTGTAAGTGGATGCTACAAGCCTGATGTGCGAGTGTAAGTGGATGCTACAAGCCTGGTGTGTGAGTGTAAGTGGATGCTACAAGCCTGGTGTGTGAGTGGATGCTACAAGCCTGATGTGTGAGTGTAAGTGGGTGCTACAACCCTGGTGTGTGAGTGTAAGTGGATGCTACAAGCCTGGTGTGTGTGTGAGGGGGTGCTACAAGCTTTGTGTGACTGTAGTTGGGTGCTACAAGCCTGGTATGGGAATTTAGGTGGGTGCTACAAGCCTTGTGTGTGAGTGTAGGTGGATGCTTCAAGTCTGGTATGTGAGTGTTGATGGGTGTTACACTCTATGTGTGTTAGTGTAGGTGGGAGCTACAAGCCTTGAATGTGAGTGTTGACTGGTGCTACAAGCCTGGTGAGTATACAAGTCTAGTGTGTGAATGTAGGTGGGAGCTACAAACCTGGTGTGGGAGTATGGGTAGGTGCTACAAGCCTGGTGTGTGGATATAGGTAGGTGTGGGATGTAGGTACGAGCCTGGTGTGGGAATGTAGATCGGTGCCACAAGTCGTATGTGTGAGTGTAGGTGGATGCTACAAGTTTGGTGTGTGAGTGTAGGTAGGTGTTATAAGCCTGGTGTATGTGAGTGCTACAAGCCTGGTTTGAGTGCACTTGTATTCTACAAGCCTGGTGTTGGAGGGTGCTACAAGCCTGATGTGTGAGTGTAGGTGGATGCTTCAAGTCTGGTGTGGGAATGTAGATGGGTGCTACAAGCCTTCTGTGTGAGTGGAGGTGTTTGCAACAAGCATGGTGTTGGAGTATAGGTGGGTGCTACAAGCCTGGTGTATGAGCGTAGGCGAGTGAGTGCTGCAAGCCTGGTGTGGGAGTGTAGGTGGGTGCTACAAGCTAGGTGTGTGGATGAAGGTGGGTGCTACGAGCCTGGTGTGTGAGTGTAGGTGGGTGCTATAAACATGGTGTGGGAGTATATGTGGGCGCTACAAACTTGGTGTGTGGATGAACGTGGGTGCAACAAGCCTGGTGTGTGAGTGAAGGTGGATGCTTCAAGTCTGCTGTGAAAATGTAGATGGTTGCTACAAGCCTTGTGTGTGAGTGTAGGTGGGTGCTACAAGCTTGGTGTGTAAGTGTAGGTGGGTGCTACAAGCTTGGTGTGTAAGTGTAGGTGGGTGCTACAAGCTTGGTGTGGCTGTAGCGGATGAGACATGAGCCATACACTAGCTATGTCTAGCATATGTAATCGACCTTATCACCTTATAAGGCATTAAAATCTTGAGGAATGAGCCACCCACTATCATAAAATAAATTACGATGACTAAGAAATGACGAAAAATATAATTATGTGATAAGATCTTGAAAATACCAGTGGAAGGCTTCGGTCAGATGACCAAAAGCTCCAGTGGAGGGTTATTATATGACTAAAACCCGCGTGAGGAAACAATTGTCCTGTTTCCTAACCAATCTTACCTAAGCTAACCTTGAAAATACCAGATAAAATAGACTCCAAGAGGGATTATGAAAAATTATATGTCAATAATTTTATAGTAGTCAGTTCATATTCAGCTTGGTATACTTAAAAATATGCGATTAGAGACATGACAGATTAATGAAAAATGTATTATATGGATGATAACCTCATTGACAGACTGGAGGAAAAAATGGTTGACACGATGACAACTTAAGTACAACCATGAACAAGACAAAAAGGCACAATACCGTGACCAGAACAATTCACAATTAATCAGCACATAGGAGAATGAAACGTATGTGATGATGAACGGAAGTGAAACATGTATATGCAATAAAATGGTTAAAAATGGAACAGAACAGTAGGTAGTATGCTAAAACCTGCGGTAAAATTTTGCGTCTGCATAGACAACAAAACACACAAGAATATAGACGAGTCTTTCGTAACTTCCAATACAAAAGAGCAGAGACAACAAGATTTGGTCTTACATAACCTCAAATACAATAGAAATAGATCTACTTTAACTTTAACTATGTAAATAAGCACAATGGATCTTATCAATCTCAAAGAAAAACCGTACCCGGCAACACTCGTGGAAATGTCAGATTTATTGTAAAAATAACTTAGAAAAAGATTTTTATTCTTGTTCCTTTTGCAGTAATTATTACAAAATCAATCAACTTTGATGTACCAAGCAGTTAGATTTTGTGCATTAGTACATATATTTAACATATTTTTAACTATTTTTAAGAAGAGACAGTAGTAGGGTCAAGAACTGGTCTTACCAGAGCATAAAGTTCCTGAGTGCCGTCAACTTTATAGTGGTGTCTCTTTGCGAAGCCTCTCGCCTTAGAGAAGGACACCGTAAAGGCCACCACACAGATGATAGCACAGTCAGTAACTATTTTGGGCATCAGCTCAATGGGAGGTACTGTAGGTGTTGGTAATCTGACGGAAAGAAAACAGAAAAGTTTCTGATTTTATTATTGCTCATAGACGAGTTTTTTTTCCAAATACTTTAATATATATAACAATACAATTCATACACACAAAAAACTCTTAAATGAAATAGCTAATTAGTTTGGCCTGAAATACGCAAACACACACACACACACACACACATCTCTCTGTATACATACATAGATAAATTAAGCTCTTTGATTGACTTAAATGATTTTAACATGGTTAATTTTGATGTTACTTCTTTGTTTACAAAAGATCCTGTTGATGATTTATTAAGTTTCTTATCTGAAGAACTCGTTAATTATGATTTACCATTGCAAGTTCCTAATATCATTAAACTTATTAAACTTTGCATTGTTGATGCAAAATTTGTATTTAATGATAAATTTTACACTCAGAAGTTTGGTATGGCAATGGGAAATCCTCTTTCACCTGTTCTTAGTAACCTATACATGGAATTTTTTGAAACAAGGCTGCTTAACACAATCCTCCCTAATAGAGCTAAATGGCTCAGATATGTTGATATTTTGTGTCTTATGCCCAAAAATGTAGATATACACCATTTCCTTGTTAAATTAAATAGCTTAGCCAATTCTATAAATTTTACTGTTGAGTTTGAGGAAAATAACTCATTGCCTTTTCTAGATGTTTTAATTATTAAGGGTAATAATGAATTCAAATTTAAAATTTACAGGAAACCTACAAATAACTGTTCCTATGTCCACTATTATTCTTCACATCAAGATAGGGTTAAACTGTCTGTTTTCTCATCAATGTTTTTAAGAGCATTGCGTATTTGTAGCCCAGAGTTCATAGATGAAGAAATATCCAAAATTTATGAAATAGCTAATGATCTGAAATACCCAAGAAACATAATTGATAAATCATTTAAAATTGCTAGAAATACTGTTTACAATCCAAAAAGGGACAACCAACCTTATTCAACTAAAAATATGTTGGTTCTCCCTTACCATGAAAACTTGGTTGATATGCCTTCTCTTCTTAAGACTTTTAATATCGAAGTTGTATTTAAAAATCTGATAAAGTAAAAAAACTTTTTATCAAGAATTCCCCCGAAAATGCTGACGGATGTGTGTATAAGATTCCTTGTAAAATTTGCGATAAATTTTATTACGGTCAAACTGGTAAAAGTTTCGAACTAAGATTAAAACAACATAAATATAGCATTAGAACTGGACAAAATTACAATGCTCTATTTATTCATGTGAGAGATTTTAACCATCCAATTGATTTTCAAAAAGGTGAGAAAGTTGTATCAGGCAAGCCCATGGTCGACAGGAATATAATTGAATCTTGTTTCATAAAAAGCAGTTTTGAAAATAATATGAATATTTCTTTTGGTTTATATAAATTAGATCCATTTATAATTAATAAAATTTGGGAAGAATTTAATAATACATTGGACAAATAATGAATCTTCATTCTTGGGTAGGATAGTTTGTTTGTGGAATGCCATGAAGAACCTGCAGGCCTGCTGCAGTGTTCTCTTTCTTATGGGTCACGTGTCATCGTACGTCAGGTGTTGCTTTGTTGTGGGATGTGATTGTTAGGTGTAGTCTAGACCCTTTATATGCCATCCTTTGATGTATTTCTTTTATTGTTCCTTGATAATGTGAGTAGTCACGAAAGCGCTTGGAATTTCACTATTCTTTCAGTGGTTGTTTTGCATATACAATGGACCCCCAAATTTCGGCAGCCTCGATTTTCGTGAAATTCGACCTTCGGCGAGTTTTTTTGGGGGAAAATTTTGGCCTCGAGTTCCGTGAAAAAACGCGTGTTTCAGCAACCTTCCGGTACCCGTCCGCCCCTCACCGCGTACACAAAGCCAGTCTCGCACGCCATTCACGCACGCCATTCACGCTCAGTGTGCCATTGTTTACCAACACGTGACCATCACCCCGCGGGTTCATACGTTATAATCCATTGTTTTTTGTGATTACAACTGCAAAATAAGTCACCATGGGCCCAAGGAAAGCTAGTGCAAGCCCTTTGGTAAAGAAAGTGAGGAACACGATCGAATTCAAGAAGGAAATCATTGAAAAATATGAGAGTGGAGTGCGTGTTACAGAGCTTGCCAGGATGTATGGCAAGCCCCATTCAACCATCACTTCGATCGTGGTGAAAGGAAAGGAAATAAGGTGTGCTGTTGTTGCAAAAGGGGTGGATATGCTGACAAAAAGGAGATCACAAATCCTCGAAGAAGCGAAGAGGTTATTGTTGGTGTGGATTACCGAAAAACAGTTAGCAGGAGATAGTGTTACACAGTCGATAATATGTGAAAAGGCAAGGCAGTTGCATGACGATCTCGTAAAGGGGGGAGTGAGGGACTATATTTTTGTTTTCAACCGATTTATTTTATTTTTGGTGTACTTTTAGAGGTGCATATATAGTTTAATGTGACAAAGTTTCAGTATGATTGGCCAACAAACAACATAGAAAAAAAATATTAACATAATTTTGATATATGGCAGTATCCCGACAAATTGGCACTACGAGTGGCACTTCCGACATTCCCAACTGTTAGAATACAACTAGCACGAATCTTTTACATTGCCATTTCATCTAATATATCTTATGATCATGGTAAAAAAAAATACATTTGACAGAATTTTTGGCATTCACCAAAACATCTGCCTTTTACCCCCCACAAAATCAAAAATATTTGAGATATTCCAAAAAATCTATCATTAAAATTTAAAACACACTTTGTTTTATATTGTCTGTGAAAATCATTTCAATACAATCATTAATAATGGTGCTGGTTAGCGAAATAAGTGAATAAGTTACTTCCGAGATATAGGCCTAGAACGCCGGCAGGCCTACCGTCAAAAAAAAAAATTTATTTTTTCACGAAAATCGCGTTTGTTTCGGTGTATTTCTTAGTAAACTGATGTTCTAGTGCAGTTACCCTCTTCAAAACATCGTTTTCTCTCACTCACAGACCAAACAATACAACATGGAGACGAGGAGTAACTTTTTTATATCGAGATATTGCTGGTGGACTCTCGCTTTATTATGGCCTATTTTATTCAGTCTAGAGTATATAACATGTTTGTTTGTTATTTACAGTGATTATTATATCATATTAGATCAATTCTGATAGATAAATAAGCCGTATAGTTTTAAAGAACATGCCAGCAACAAGTGGTGATGCTTGTGATTTTAAGGCCAGCAAAGGTTGGTTTGAGAGATTTAAGAAGCGTAGTGGCATTCACAGTGTGATAAGGCATGGTGAGGCTGCCAGTTCTGACAAAAAAGCAGCTGAGAAGTTTGTACAGGAGTTTAAGGAGTGCATAGACACTGGAGAATTCAAACCCCAACAAGTGTTTAATTGTGACGAAACAGGCCTCTTTTGGAAGAAAATGCCAAAGAGGACCTACATCACGCAGGAGGAAGCGGCACTCCCAGGACACAAGCCTATGAAAGATAGGTTTACTCTCATGTATTGTAGTAATGCTAGTGGGGATTTTAAAGCGAAGCCTTTACTGGTGTATCACTCTGAAAATCCCAGAGTGTTCAAGAAATACAGTGTCGCCAAGAGTAATGTGTGTGATGTGGAAGGCTAACAGTAAGGCATGGGTCACAAGGGGAATTTTCCTAGACTGGTTTAATGAAGTGTTTGGCCCCAGTGTAAAGAAATACCTCCTGGAAAATAAATTGCCACTCAAGTGCCTCCTGGCAATGGACAATGCTCCTGAAGAGCAAATAGTGGAGGAGTTTAGTTTCATCATGGTGAAGTTCTTGCGTCCTAATACCACTCCCCTCCTCCAGCCCATGGACCAGCAGGCCCTTTTCCCAAAATTCAAAAAATTCTACCCCCCAAAGCAGCTTTTTAAAAAGTGCTTTAAAGGGTGACCTCGACACTGTTTGACCCTAAGAGATTTCTGGAAAGACACTTTAATACCCCTCCTTTTGCAAAAACCCTTTATAAAATAAGTTTGGGGGGGAAAGTGACTTCCAGGATTTTTGAACTCGGGCTTGGAGATATTTGGGGCCAGATTGTGTCCCAAGAGGGGGGTTTTTTAAAGGGGTTTTGGGGTGGCTACCCCTAAAAAACCCCCCCAGTCGGGGAAAAAACTATTGAAATTTTTGGGGAAATGTCCCGGGGGTTGGAGGGGGAGGGGTGGGGTTTTTGGAAAGTTGGGGGGGGGGACCCCCGGAAGACAAACCCAACTGAAGACTGCAAGAACTTCATCTGCAACGGCAAAAAATTTAAACCCCGGGAAAAACTGCTGCAGAGGAGGAGGAAGAGAATGGAGGAAGGTCCCTTTTCTTAAAAGATTAAGGAATTTGTGCAAAGGGGTTGAAGTGCAAACTTTTAAAGGATGAACCCTTCCCCCCCAAAACAAAGTGTTGCGGGCCGTTTTAAAAACATGTAAAAATAACAGGTTGGTCCCACTTCAGGGAAATTTTTAAAGAAACGCCAGAAACAGACCTCTCTGGACAGATATTTTGTGCCAGGGGTCCGGGTGACTTTTAAAGGGCGGGCCCAGTGGCATTAAAAGAAAAGGGAAGTAACCCCAGATAGGGACTTAAATCCCTTTAAGCCCAAAAGGGAAAGGAGATTCCCTTCCAAAAAATAATTTTACACCTTCCTCCACCCCCTCCTCCCGTCCATAAAAATATATATATATTATATATTATATATATTTTATTTTTTTTAAATTTTAATTTTATATTTTATATATAAATTAAAAATATATATTATATTTTTATATTTTATAATTTTAATTTTAATTAAAGGGGGAATAATTTGGTTAAGGAAAACCGGGGGAAAAATTAGGTTTAAGAGTTAAAAATTTAAAAAGGGAAATTTGGATTTTTTGACAGGAAAATAAGGAAATTTTTTTGAACAAAGGAGGCTTTAAGGAAAAAGGGTAGGGGGTGGGGGGGTGTCCGGGTTTTTTTAAGGGAAAAATTGGAAAAAGGGGGAAGGTTAGAAAAGCTTAAAGGGGTTTTTTGTT